TTTGGTCCCATATTTATTTTAGTACTTTTTTTCCCCTGATAAGATTCTCTAAGGCCTGCGGATAACTTTATTTGAAGCTATTTCAGGTACACAGTTTTTCATTCTCTTACTGTATCAGTTGAATAAAAGTATGCTAAATTCTATCATAATCATAATAAATTGTCTTCATCATTATGACCAATCACAAAAATCTAACAATTCTCCTTTTAAAAGTACTTTGTTATAAAAATACTTTGCAATAAAAGAACAATGAAGTTTTTCTTTTGTTTTACTCTCCCCCATTTTCTTCAATTTAAAAGCAAACAATTGGTTTCATTTCAGCAACAAACATGTTTTATTTTTAACTTGGTGATTTTCTAATATCACCCAGATTAGTGTATTTTAATAAATGAAAATTATATAGCTAATGGAATAAAATGGGCACTTAGAGAAGTAGCTTTATGGGAAAACTGATAACCAGTTAGTTCTAAAATATACTTTTTTGTGGATAATTTAGGAAAAGTTCATGAAAAAAGTGTTTTTAGATATTACTACAGTATTACTTGAACAATTTTAAAGAAAATAGAACATAATCAGCAATCCCCAGAAAAAATACTTTACTTTTTTTTTGCCTAAGGTAACAATCTAGAAAATGGTATACTCTGCTGTTAACCTAAGCTTGCCACCTTCTAGCTATTTCACACATTAGGCTTAATAATAGTGAGAAGTCTTTAATAAGGAGTAAAACCCACATTAAAATGGTTGAACAGGGAAAATACAACTCTTTGCATTGTCTATCCTTGAGCAAGAGCATGGAAATTTAACCTGAACATATCAGAAAATAAGAAAGAAATTTAAATAATACTTAAAAAAAAAAAACCTTTTCACTTCTTGATTAAACTTATGCTTCAAGAACTATATCAAGAAATTTATTTTAGTATTTTTAGGACATCCAAAAATTAACAACACAGTTAACTACAACAGAAAATCTAATAACAATCATAGCAGTTGGTTTCATAAAAGTACGTATAGTCAGCCACCTATATCTTGGCAAACATTTCTCAAAAACTAACTCAAATACGAGAGGAGACCCAAAAAGAACAAAATTTATCTAAAGAATTGTGTATTCATTCTGACATGTTTAATCTTCAGTCATCATCAAAGAACTTTCCATTTGATGAAATACACCTATCCAGACCCTTTTTCCAGAGGCTCAGAACAGTTTTTGAACTTGTCGGTGCTGATGCCTCTTAGTGCTTCTGCCATTGTTTGTTTCACTTCTTCCACACTGGCAAAATGTTTCCCTTTGAGGATTTTTTTCAACCAGGGAAACAAACAAAGTCGCTCAAGGGGGGATTGGGTGAATAGGGAGGGCGGGTCATGCTATTTTTGGTAAAAACTGCTGAACACTCAGCACAGTATGGGCAGATGCGTTACCATGGTGGAAGAACCAGTTACCTGTTTGTCAAAACTTGGGACATTTCTTCCACAAATCATGATGCAACCTTCTCAAAACTTCCAGATAAAAACTTTGACTGTTTAATCCAGAGGAACAAATTCTGAGTGTATTACAAGGGGTATGCCCTCCAAAAGATAATTCCAGTTTTTAGGGTTCCACTTCTACTACTATCAAAGGAAAATGTTACTGCAAGCCCCCTCATCTTCCCCACCTATTCTATTCACTTAATACTAAATACCACAAATTAGTAGTAGTTAAAAAAGAAATCATCTGCACAAATGTTCATAGCAGTATTCTTCATAATAGCCAAAAAACGGGGGGTATCTATCAATTGATAGCTCATAAACAAAATATAGTAAACACATGCAATTAACGATTATGCAAGCAACACAAAATGCATGCTAATACATATTCCAACATGAATGAATCTTGAAAATATTACGCTAGGCTGGGTGCAGTGCTCATGCCTGCTCTCCCAGCATTTTAAGGGGCTGAGGCAGGAAGATTGCTTGGGCCGCAAAGTTCAAGACCAGCTTGGATATCTCTACAAAAAAATTAGAAAATCAGCCAGTCATGATAGCATGTGCGTGTAGCCCAGCTACAAAGGAGACTGAGGCAGGATTGCCTAAGCTCAGGAAGTCGAGGCTGCGGTGAGCCATGACTGTGCCACTGCATTCCAGCCAGGGCGACAGAGTGAGACACTGAACCCAAAAAAAGAAAAAGAAAATATTATGCTAAATGAAGAAGTCAGTCACAAAGAACTGCATATTGCATTTATGTGAAATGTCTGGAATATGCAAATCCACAGAGATAGGAAGTAGATTAGTGGTTGTTTCTGGCTAGAACGAATCAGGAATTGTAGAGTTATAGTAAGGGGTAAGTCATTCTTTTTGAGGTGATAAAAATGTTCTAAAATTGACTGTGATAAAGGTTGTACAATTTTGTGAATATACAAAAAGCACTGAGTTGTACACTTTCAATGGGAAAATTTTATGGTGTTAGTTTAATAGAAATAAAGCCATTAAAAAAGAAATCACTTCAAAACTGTTTCAAATCATTAAATAAACAGGTTTTTTTGGTTTCGTTTTGTGTTTTTGTTTGTTTTTGTTTTTTGAGATGGAGTCTCACTCTGTCACCCAGACTGGAGTGCAATGGCCACTCCCGGCCACCACAGCCTCGACCTGCTGGGCTCCGGCGATCCTTCCGCCTCAGCCTTCCAAGTAGCCGGAATTACAGGCATGCGCTACCACGCCCGGCTGATTTTTTGGTTTATTGTAGAGATGAGGTCTTGCTGCCCAGGTGGGTCTCGAACCCACGGGCTCAGGCAATCCACTCACCTCAGCCTCCCAAAGGCGCGGGATTGCAGGCTGAGCCATTAAAACTTCTTTTAGTCTTAATATCTTCTACAGAATAGTAACCTATAAAATTCCAAATTTTTAATTCTCTTTCTTTCTACAGATATTTACTGAATAAATATAAATTTACCATAACTATAGAAATGTGATTTTTCTACACAATAGCACCTTCAGTAAAATTAGAATAACTGCTCATTAAAAAAAAGTAATGTACTCTCCAATTTTTACAATTACTATGGTTTGCCTTCAAGTTCATATTATTCTACTTAACTAGTAATCATTTAAAAATTAAGATCAGACACAGTTACCTTAATGTCTGATAGCCAAAACAAATTTACTAAGCCAAGTAACTGAGGATTATAAGGTTGCAATAGTCAAAACTTTACAATTAATGAGTAGATCATGTCATTTACAAAACTGGGCTTTGTTTTTAACAAGCCATCCCTGGGCTCTTTCCTCAGTTTAAAACCTCAAGTAAAGGAATACTGTTATAAACAAAATGATGGGGACTGGGCTTTATTTAGATTTTTAAAAATTCTTACTCTGAAATAATTATAGATTCATGCAAAGTTGCAAAAAAAATAAGATAAAATAATGTTCAATTTTTCTCTACAAAGTTTTCTTTAGGTTTAGTGTTGATAAATTTTGTGGGGAATAAGAAGCCTGGGGCCAGACGTAAAAGAAACTCACTAAAGCACCAGGTAACTATAGACCAACTAGACAAGGGGAAATAGAAGACAGGAAAGAAAAAGAGATGGGAAGCAAAAGAAAAGGAGAAAAAGGAAAGGGTAGCTGAGAGAAGAGGTAAAGAGAAGAAACAGAAGAAAACAAAGAGAAAAAGAGATGGAGGAGGAGGGGAAAAGTAGGAGGGGAAAACAATACATGAAGTAAAAGACCCTTGCACACCTTGCAACTCAGGACAGGCTCAAGGTCAGAAGTGGAGAGCACATCCCAGACCCAGAATCCAAGGTCCTTTGACAAGCCCAAATGAGTAACAAGGGGATCTTCTCCAGAGGCTCTAGCAGGAACCACACAATAGGGACTACCTAGTGAAATCTCCAATCCTGTCCACTCCAAGAGAAACAAATACAGGGTTGCTCACTAGCTGTTCCCAAACGTCATAATAAATTTAGTGCTTCCACAGTTTCTATGATATTCTGATTATTCTTCAAATACCATAGGTTTCCTTTTTACTTTTTAAACGTAATGTTTGGTTTTTCTATTCCTATCATATCCAGAAACAAAATGGCCAAGGCTACCTAGAACTTTAAAAAAAAAAAAAAAAAATTTTTTTTTTTTAGTTGGAGTCTCACTCTGTCTCCCAGACTGGAGTGCAGTGGCCACTCCCGGCCACCCCAGCCTCGACCTGCTGAGCTCCAGCGATCCTTCCATCTCAGCCTTCCAGGTAGCCGGAACTACGGCGCGTGCTACCATAAACCAAAACTTTTTACTTTTATTAAATGTGAAACAGATTTACTTCTTATCTATTAGCACATTGGTTTCCAAGCTTTGCTGCACATTAGAGTCACCTGATGATCTCTTTAAATCTCCCAATGTCCAGGTCAATTAAAGTTTAAAGGCTGGAGGTCAACCATGCCAATTAAATTTTAAAAGTATGGAAGTGAGAATCAAGTATTAATACTTTTTTAAAAGATGCTCAAGTTTGATTAACAGAGATCATAACAATAACCAAACCAATAAAAACCTCATCTTTTTTTAAAGGACAAAATAAAGGAATATTAGTTATTCAGCTTGGATACTAAAATGTTTAAGTCTAAATGTGACTTTTCAGAAGTATTTTTGAATATATCTATAACCTTGGGTTTCCTTATTGCACATATAAACTCTCAACTTTTCAATTATGAAAATTAAAACAATGAGAGGCCCTAAAAATTATAATCAAAGTAAAACTAACAGAATAAACAGTTCATAAGACTATGGGTCAATCATATAGAGTAATCTAGTAATTCTACTGCTAGAAAAGTAACCTAAGGAAATAACCATAGTTGCCTGCCAAGATAAATTTCAACATAATACAAATTGGAATTCTATAAATTCATTAAAAATGTTGTAAAAGATATCCAATGGCATTCAGAACTTCATAACATAACGTTTATATATAAGTCAGTCACAAAACAGTTAAAATATTAAAAAACAATATGTATAGTATGTCACTTAAAAATCAATTTTATATACATAAAACTTACTTGAAGTTGGACTGAATTGTGCCGAAGCCCTTCCACAATAGAAAAAAATCTGTCAATTTTTCTCTCTTCAGCAGCTGAAGTTAAAGCTTCTAAAACTTCTTCAAGGCTATTGGAAATTTTGAATCTATTAATTAAATTGCAAGTAACAAATAGCACAAATGCCATAGAATCAATTGCTTTATCCTACTGAAGTCAATACTTCTAGGCAGTCAGTATGTGTTAGAAGTAGCTTACTGAGTACAAAACATATTTCAAACATTGTTCTAAGCATGTTATATTTTAAGTCATTTATCTCTGATAATAACCTGGTAAAGCTATTTATTAATCAAACATTTTTGTCATGTTTACTATACATGAAGCACCATTTGGACAACTTTATAAATACCAACTCACTTTAAAGTATGTAGCAACTTTTTGAGGTAGGCACTATTATTAATCCATATTATAAATTAGGAAACAAAGGCAGAAAAAGATTAAGCAGCTTGTCCGAAGTCTTCTGTCTACTAAATGGTAGAGCAAGGATCTAAACCAGTCAGTCCATCTAGTAAGCACCATATAAATGCTCTTAACCACTGTACTCTAATGCCACATAAGTTTAAGTAAACAAAGTTGTGACAGCTAAAAATATACAGTAGTGTGATGTACTAAATATTCAAATATAAATAGAATAATTATGCAAGAAATATACTGCCTCTTCTTTTAAAGAATAGCAGTGTTAACAGTGTCTCACATACTGTAGAAGCTCAGTTTCTGGACATAGGCATGCAGTCCTAAGTGTTATTTACAGCATTTTGATACCCATTCTGAAGTCAAGAAACAATCAAAGTAATATGAAAAAGGAAGGAGGAACAAAAGGAGAAGAAAAAGATAAAAGAAGATAATAAAGAAAGAAAAGGTAAAGGAAAGGGGAAAGAAGAAACAAAAGAAGAAAAAAGGGATAGGGAAGAAAAAGGAAGAGTCCAAGAGAAGGAAGAAGGAAAAGGAAGAAAAAGGAAGAGTCCAAGAGAAGGGAGAAGGAAGAGACAAGAAGGGAGAAAACAGGAAGAGGCAATGAGGAGAAGGAAAGTGAAGAAGAGAGGAAGAGGCTCAGAAAGTATCAACTGTATCACCATGAAACGCACTCTTGAATTTGTACACCAGAATATATACAGGGCCTTCTTAACCTGGAGAAGGATGAGTATGGAATGCCAGCCTTCAGAGCTGCAGCTGAGTACAACCTAGCCTCTTCTATTTACAGCACCACACTGTAGGCCTGAGTGGTGCCTCTGACTCGCCAAGCAGAGCCCTCAAACAGAGCCTGCTCAGTACCACCAGCTCCAGCAAAATGGTCACAGGGCCAATTTCACATGAATGCAAGAGGATCTGCCTACCCTACATGGGGGAATATTTCAGCTAGTTTTTTGGGTTGTTCAGTTTTTACATCTTTATCTTTTTTAAAGGGCACTTTAAATAATTCTTAAGTGCTTTCTTATAATTAAAATCCAAATCTTCTTTAAAGAAAAATTAAAAGTTTATCTTTGTAATTATCTTTAACATGTATGTAAATGGTCTTTTAGGTACGGTACTAACAAATGTAGTTAAGGTCTTTATAGCTTTAGTTATGCAATGTCAAGGACTTTGTACCCTCAACACGTAAAGTACTACTACATACATCACTTTCTAAATCTGCCTTACATACAGATTTTCAAATAGTAGCACATTTGCTTCTACAAGGAAAAAACATGACCTAGAGTTTGAAATAATTCTATCCAGGAAAAAAAAATCAGACAAGAAACAAAACCATGTGTCTATTTTTCAAGGACTTCGTTTAGAATTTTTGTTTAGTGTTTGAGTTAAAAACAGTTTATGCTGGGTTTGGTGGCTCAGCCTGTAATTCCAGCACTGTGAGAGGCCGAAGCAAGTGGAATGTCTGAGCTTGCAAGTTCGAGACCAGCCTGAGCAACTTGGTGAGACCTTGTCTCTACAATAAGTCAAAACTTAGCCAGGCATGATAGCATGCATCTGTAGTTGCGGCTACTTGGAAGGCTGAGCAAAAGGATTCCCAGAGCCCAACAGTTAACGCTGGGGTGGCCATGAGTGTGCCACTGCACTCCAGCCTGGGCAACGAAGTAAGATTCCAACTCAAAAAAAAAAAAAAGAACAATTTAATGCATTTTTCATAGAAACATTTTAGCATATAACTAATATAGCAATTAATAAAAATAATTACTAACAAATATTTCTATTCAGCCAATAAAAATCTAAATCAGTTGCTTTACTATATACCTCAACATTTAGTTATTTAAGGTAAATTCTAGTCTAAAATAGAAGAAATGTTAAATGAATCTAACATAATAATTTTGATGGTATAATTACTGTATAATTATAGATAAGTTGAGAAGACTTACATGCTTTCTTCCCCTACAATGCACACCGCAGAGAGAAGTTTAACCACGTCTGTCATCATATTGGGAAGCTTGGGATCCATTGCTCTGGCCAATAAGAAAAGACTCCTCTCTTCACTCATAATTCTTTCCAAGCCATACTATAATATTTTCAAAATAAGAAGTTAAATGTTAGAAGTTACTTGGAAAAGTCATGCTCATAAGGAAATATAGTTATTCGAGAATAAATGTGCAAGAAAATACAATTTTACACTTATTACAGTTTAAAAATATAAAGACCATGGAACACCCGAAAAATTCATAGTCATTCACTTTATGTCAAGAACTATGAATCTAAACCAAATACAGATAATCTCTCAAAGGTAATTTTACAACATTATGGCTAATTATTATTAAGAGAGGTAAGTAGCCAGACGGAGAAAGGGAGAAACAGTGAGAAATATGGGATTTCCAAGGGAAATATACAAAACAAACAGCCAGATACTGAACCAGATACTGATGTCATGAAGACCATTTTCCTGGAAAGGAAGGTGGTTAGAGACACATTACCACAATTAAACACATAGATCAGCACTGTCCAAGAGAAATACAATGTGACCCACATGAATAATTTTAAATTTTCAAGCAACAAGTAAGACTATTTTCAATAAAATTAACCCAATATAGCCAAGGTATTATCATATCAATATGTAACCAATATAAAACATTTATGGATGATATTTCATTTTTTTTTCTTATAAATTTTGATAATCACAGTATATTTTATTCTGGAACACAACTCAATTCAAACCAGCCACATTCCAAGTGTTCAGAAGCCACAGGTGGCTACCATATTATACAGCACAGGTCCAGATATTATTCCAGATATTATTATAGCACTTAGTTCCCAAATGGGCAAAATGTAAAGGGGATGGTTTGTGCAGACCATGTGGAAACTGCCCTAATGAGCAAATGTATTCTAATCACAATGACATTTATCATCAGGAAAACAATGCAGCTGTTATAAAAATGGGATGATTGGGATAAGGATAAAGCTTGTTTACTACTACCAGGATGTCAAATCCAATTAGAAGATAAGGAGTTATGTTAATGGCATATCTATGAACGATAACTATCAAAACACAGGGATGAACAGAAGCAATAAAACAGTACTATTTTCCTAGCATGCATCTCAGAGGACCCTTCTAAACAGTGAGAAATCAGTAAGTCAGAGTTACTACCAAGCACTAAAAAGGGCCTTACTCCCAATTACAGATCAATGAACTATGGACTAAACTCAAAATTAGCACTACTTATAAACATTGAAGTTGAATCTATAACAAGCTTAGACCCAAATGAGTTGTTATGAAATCTTATTTAAAATGGTCCTATCTTATAAATGGCACTTATGCAAAGAAGCTTTCACGTTGTGCTAACATACTGTATTTTCTTTAAACCCCTCTTTAAGGAACACATTGGAGCACTACAAGCAGAGAGGCCAAGGGGCCAAGGGTCCCAGAATATGACTATTGGAGAGATGTCTCTGTCTTGTTGGTGTTCAGAAAAAGTTTACAACAAGACAGCTAAACAGTCAGGAAATGCTAACTTTTGTGATACCCTGGGCTGTTACACAAGTGGAAAAATAACAAAAAGGTGAGCACAGGGCCAAAAACTACTCTATATCTTGATAATCATTCTAGGGAATTGTCAGTGGTATACAAAATGACCACATAGATTCGATTCAGAAAGTCAGTCAATGATTACCAAATACCAAAGAGCTGGCTCTGTCCTAACACCTGAAGACTAAGTTTGCCTCTAGCATTTCCCCTTCATCTCCCATCCACCTGGTCCTGCAGAACCAGAATCTGGGACTCTTCCAGTCATTCAAAATGACTCATAATGACTTCTTCCAAGTGATACGAACCTACTTCTCTGCCAAGTCCTCTGGCCCTAAACCACTGTGTGTAGAGGGTGAAATATAAGCAATCACGAATTTCACTGTGACCCCCCCTCACAAACACAAAGGTCCATTCAGGCAGCATTCTCTGATTTTGCTAATGCAAAAATATGTCAAGGTCATTTTAAGACTAAATGAGGCCAGATTATCACTACTCAATGTCTATAACTAAATACAGAATTGCTACTTACTTGAATAAAATTACTCTCATTCAATTATTTAAAAACAACAGCAAAACAAAAACTGTTGACTCTGTGTGAAAAATAGTCGACTTACCAGTGCTAGCATTAAAACACATTTAATGAAGGCTATCATAGGTTAGAGAGATGCGACAAATTTTGGATGGCCTAAAATGTATCTTTCCTGAATACCAAGGACCTGCTCTGAGTAATGTGATAACTGGCCTGTTCTAAACTGAGGACCAATGCCAAGTTCTGTTTGCATTTTACATAAGGCCTATTATTACCTAATAGATGGAATTTTGGGCCATTGAAGATGTTGTTTTGGGTCAAGGAAAGCTAAAACCCTAAATCCTGATGTAGGATATCTACCATCTGAGCCATGCTACAGGAAGACTGGTGCCCAGCAACTATCCACAGTGAGTGAATATCCTAGTAGCAGAGATAATGTGGGTAGGAAGCTGGCTTCAGGAACAAGACACCTTCACTTGGGTACAGTCTTCAAAGCGACAGTCACAGAGCTAACTGACCAAAAGGAAGCCTTTGTTCTAATTACTCTTAAAGTTAAATATGTTAAACTTCTCACCCTTACTATCTTTTATTTTCTTCCTCCTAAGTAATTAAAATCTTCTTCCATTTAAAAAAATACTTTTAGTCCAATTTAATATTGCAGGAAATTCACTTTCATATGATGTTACCAAATTTGCTCTTTAATTATATAATTAATTAATGGTAACAAGGCACCACATTTTTGTCTCTTAAAATTTTTCATCATTCAATGAAGTTTAGTAAAGACTGCATAGTGAGATTAAACAAATTTTGTACTTACAGATACAATAAAATAAAAATTAGGAAAACCATCAACCAATCTTGGAGGCAAAAAAAACTTTACCTAAAATTTCACATATCACTAAGTTTAGAGTCCAGATACTATAATAATACTAAGTATCAGTAACTTAAATTAACTTTGTTATTCTCAGTAGTATAGATCACAATATCAAACACAAATGGTAATATACTACAGCTCCACATATAAAATTATAAGCAACAAATTTGTTAATATAAAAAAATATTTTATTTCTTATCATATAAAGTGTACTCCTCCAATTCATTCTCAAACCAAGTAAGAATATTATCTTCTATATATCACCTGATTTTAAACATGATAGTCTTCTAGAATACAAATTATTATCCAAATGCCCCTTTGGCTTACAAAAAACATTCCTAGGTTTTCTCTACTCTAAGCCTTTCCATCACCAATGAAATTTCCAACTTCTGTACTCTCACTTTTGAAAAGGCCTTCTAAACTATTTTTATGTTCTTTGTGCTGATAGAGGAAAAAACCTCTCTCCAGCAGCAATCTGATCCTTTCACTCATTTATTCTTAAAACAGATTATATAAAAAGCAACTTAATATATCTAAAATCTAATATCAAAGAACAGGGATTCAGTATAGGAAGAAATTGTGATTTCTACACTAGATATTTTCCTTGAAAAACATATCTGATTGGAGGAGGCAAGGAGGAAAAAAATATTTCAATGGTTAAAAAATAGAAAACTTAGCTCCAGAAAATGCCTAAAATACATAAATAACTCAATAAGACAAAAATGATTAGAAAATATACATGTTTGCCACATTTAATAAAAAGAAGTACAAAATAAATGCTAATCATTTAAGTACTAGTACATAAGTGTTTGGCCTATAAAAGTTTTTTTTAAAATAAGAGTAAAACAAAATATTATTTATAAAAATTAATCAGAAAGATACAGATGATTTTACTATACAACAAAAATCATCATACCACCAAAGGTAAAATTTCCTCCCTTGCTGTCTAAGAGCAGTTCAAACACTTAATACTTTGCACATCATGTGTTAGATGTGTTTACATGTTGGAGCTAAAGAAATGGCATGGGATAATATTAACTTCTGCAATTAATAGTATATAAGCAAGAAAGAAATAATGCCAGATAAAATCTAACTTCAATAAAGGGCTTAAAGGATTTCTCCCCTCTCTAATGAAAACCTCTTTAAATATGCAAATTCTGCAGATCCTCCATAATACTTGGGCTCAGTATTACTTGGGTTAAGCATCATTACTCCATTTCTGGAACCTGCTCATATCTGTTTACATTAATTTCCCTATAGATTTTAAATTTCTAGAATATAAGAACCAAATTTGTTTAACTTTAATCTTTTGTAATAAGTATTATTACCAAAGTATTATTATTGCAGACTATAATTTAACAGTTGTGAATTTAAAGCTGACTAATAGTGTACTTTTGAAAGTTAAAGAGAAAAGAGAGGAGAGGAGGACAAAAATAAAGAAGACAGGGAGGGAAGAAGGAGGGAAAGCAGGAGAGGAAGGGAGGAAGCAGAGGAGACAGAGAGAGAGAGAGAAAGAGAGAGAGAGAGAGAGAGAGAGAGAGAGAGAGAGAGAGAGAGAATGAACCCATACATGAGTTAAGCACTAGAAGAGAATCCCATTCATTCCCAAGTTTCTTCTGTTGCAAGACGGTTGAAACTATAATTCTATAAAACTCATTATTTGTTCCATCATGTACATCAGAGTAATATATCATCCCTTTAGTGTAAGTGAAAATCATATATTACAAATTGGCAATGAACAAATACTAGTTACCCGTGTACATACCTGTGTATTCATCAAGGCTTTTAGACACTGTATGACTTTGTGTTGATTTTTCTTTACAATTTTTTCTTGGCTGCATTGACATAAAAGATATCAGTGTTGAAATTATAACTAGACAAACAAATAAGCCTTAGTTGAAAATAATTATTAGCAATACATACACTTGTCCACTGATCAGTTTTTCCAAAATGTCTAGTAATAATCCAAGCCCCTCACGTCCGAAGCTTTCCACCCAACTGAAAAGCAAGAAAAAACAAAACAAAAAAAAGTAGTTATACACTGAGTCACTATTCAAATTTTGGTGATCACAATAACACACTATATAACCACAAGCACATTATACATGTTATGTTTAAAATCATAACTAAAAACTAATGACACCATTTATCAAAATTGTTCATAATTCATAATCTTAGTGAAAGGAGGAACAAAGATGAGATAGGCCAACAGAGTGCTAAGCTCGGCTCACACTGGCTTGTGAGAGCTGCCTGGGTCTACCTCTTCCATGCTCCCTCTTCAGAGACATCATGTTGGTAGCTATGGTGAACATCTTGACAGAGATTGGCAAACGCTACAATCAGAGCTCCCTCACTCATCCCCCCCGCCCCCCCACCCCCAGAGCTGGCTTGTAAAACATGTAACAGCAATCCCCTGGAGAAGTCCCATTTTGGACTATTCCAAAGAGCAGAAACTAGGCAAGTAAAGATCTAGGAAGGAAGATTCAGGTCGACATAAAAACAAAAATTAATTAAAATAGTGCAAAAAGGATGCTTTAGGAGAACTGCTCAAGCCACAAAATGTATTGCTATAAATGCTAAGAATTTCCTTTCAACGTTAAAAAAAAAAAAGCACCATCACTAGTTTTTAATGAGTATTTCTATCTTGATCAAACCACACCTTTTCCATAAACCCACGGATTCAATCACAGTACTTCATAAAACCAGGGTATCACTGTCACTATACAATAACATGTCTTAATGACACAGAAATTACCTTGATCAAAATGACTACTGTTTTTCAGTGGAGATTTGGAAACTAGGTCAGTAAATAATATAAGGGTAATCATCTGTCTCAAAAAAAAAAAAGGGCAAAGAAAAAGATATGTGTGAATGTATATTTCTTTGTATGACGTATGTACATATTTCTTTATATGCATGTGTTTGTTTATGTGATTTTATGTATATGTGGTATTTCAACAATAAGACGTTAAAAACAAACTTCATGGCCAGGTATGATGGCTCACACATGTAATCCCAGCAGTTTGGGAGGCCAAGACAGGAGGATTGCCTGAGCCCAAGAATTCAAGACCAGTCTGGGAAACATGGCAAGATTTCATCTCTAAAAAAGATTTTAAAAATTTAGCCAGGTGTGGTGGCACACACCTGTAGTCCTAGCCACTCGGAAGCCTGAGGCAGAAAGATCAACTGAGTCCAACAGGTCGAGGCTGTGGTAGTGTGGACTATGCCACTGCATTCCAGCCTGGGTGACAGAGTTAGGCTCCAACTCAAAAAAAAACTTGAAATAATCAAAAACAAAACACTTTAAAGAATAACAAGCTTAACTCATATACCAGAAAAATGCTAGGTTTTTTTTACTTGAGATACAAAAATAACATTTCCAGTGAAAACAAGAGAGTAAAATTCAAATGTAACCTATTTACATAAAATATACAAACATTGTTTAAAATCCATCTTATTTATTTTCACAGTGTTATGATCACAATGGGACTACCTGTAAATAAACAGAATTTCTGATTTTACAAAAAAGAAAACAAAGAAATTTGCCATTTAGATTGGCAGTCTTCCAGACAATATTTTACTCATCTCCTCTTTCCAATGAAAGTTATGGAATAACCAATTTTAAAAGGCACTTAAATAGGAACACAATTCCCTGTAAAAGACAGGAGATTTACTATCACAGTTGAGGTAAGGAAACAAACAGAAGCTGCTGTTTCAAATCAGGATGCTACCTCAAAAATGAAGGTTTACTCTTCACGTCAGCAACAGACAGGTTACCTGCAGGCATTTCAAATCTTGCTTTTATGTTTCATAAAAACACAGACAGCATCCCACTTAATTGGTGACATCCTATTCTGTATTTATTCTGATTTTACGTGCAGCAGAGACTCTTGAAATAAAACACATAAGTATAATTTGAGAGTTCTGCTTAGGCTGACCTTGGGATGCAAGGAGTGAGCCTCTGTTTACCAGGCCCTGTTCTGTTTATACTTCACAGCAGGTCTTCCACACTGTGTTGAAAGTGAATTTTCAACTATCACTATAAACAAAAGTATGCCCATAAAGATACTCTAAAGCTAATATAAATGGTTTCGGATTATTCATACTGATATCACCTTTAATCATCATGGAAAATAAAGTTATTATTTATAAAACTGCCTTACATCAAAATGTACAAATTAATTTTAAATTATGTTAACATAACAAAAAGACTTTGTTACATTTAATATGCTTATATTGTGATCCACTATAAAATTTAGGAGGTACACAAATCAATGTAAATCAGTAAATTCTCTAATGTGAGTAATTAATATTTAAAAAATAGCTATTGAAAATTTATTACCCCAACACAATTATAACTAGAATAGTGAGACCCACAGAAGGTCTGAAATCAACTATTTCTAAACCCACTACATAATTCTCTTCTAAACTATAGAATATGAATAATTAAAATGAAATGCATGCCCACTCATGCATATTACATATGAGCTGATTCTCTATAAAATGAAACTTATTAAAGTTGCATGTAAAGAGGCATTAAACCAAATCACTTTATATATTATATTATAATTTTTTAATTTATTGAGGGAATTTTTCAACAACAATAAAATCAGAGCAAGGTAGGCAACAGCTTTCTGAAAACCAGGATATACTTTACATTTCATAAAACATTATCAAAAACAAGAAAAGTGAGACAGGTTAAAGGCAGAGAAAGCTAAAATACTTGACAACCAAAGAAGCAACTTAATATTTAAACATCAAAAGAAAACTAATTGAAAGTTACTTATTGAAAAGGTAATATTAATACAAAAAATAAATATGCATAAAAGTCTGTTTTCTTAAAAATTTGCAAGGCCAACATACTTCCGTATTAACAAGTTGTCAGTCACATACCCATACGTGCAAGTGTTTCACTCCTACCATTACTATTTTCAGCAATATCATTTTTAAATAGGGGCACAGATATCACTTCTGGAAAAAATGTTCAAGATAAAAAGTGATATTGAGTAGGTAAGTCTGTGGTCTTGACAGAGGTTTATTGAAATTCATAGCTTTCCACAAAAGTGAAAAATTTCTCATCATCAGTGTAAGAAGCAACCTGGAAAAAAAATTATCGACGAATCTATAAATGATCAATCTTCAAGAAACAAAATCTGCACTATTTGCTCCGTGCCCGTCAGCATACTACTATCAGGTATTATGTGGTTTAACTAAAAACTGCATTCATGGATGAATAGGCACTGTGCAAATGTTTCTTCTTCATGAATAGAAATGACATAGAGATCAGTATGACATTTGTATTAGAAAAAATTGCTTTAAAACAGCAAAATGTACTATGCTAAATACTAATTTAACACAAAAATCTCTTTTAAAATTCTGTAACAAGAAATATCCAACTCTCTTTTAATTGCCTAAAAGAAAACTTCTAAATATATTACCATTTAGCACTTCCTAGTAGGTGTCTCAATGTAGGAGAAAAGAAGAGATAATAAAAATTTCCAAAGGAGAGGGAGAATAGATGTCTAGAATTACAGTGGTTAAGCCACCTTTAAATGTTCAAAAGCAGCTTAGGCTTTGAAACTCAGTTTTGCTTCCAGAGACACAGGAAGAAATAAAAAGCGTATAAAGTGATAGCTGAAATTTTTTTGGTTTTATGCAGCAAATATAGTCAGTCACCTCGTTGAGAAATAAAGGCAATAATCAGGTTTCCGATTTACCTCCTGGCCAAAAGGAACAAAGCACTATCAAGTAAGTTTCCCCAAGACCAACCATTCTACCCTTTGTTTCAAACTTATTACCTCTCTTCCCAGATGTGCGCTCACAAAGAGAAAGACAAATGCATCATGAATTATCAGAGTCAATGAACCTACCAGGTCACAAGGGTAACCTTACCTGATGCATACTCCTTGAAGAAAGGGACCATTTCTTATTATTTATTCCAGCACTGAGATAGACTGAGCACTCAATAAATGGTTTTAGAAAGGAAACTGAATCCTTTCCATAAGGAAAGGGACATGCAAAGACAGGTTAGGGTCACTTAGAAAAAACAGCTACATTTGCCAATATCCAGGTCTATGCCTATTATGTATGTAAAACAAACACAAAGAGATGACACATTTTATCCACCATTACTAAGCCTGTCCCAACTTCAAACTAGAAGCATCAATGCCAATTTCAGAACTGTTATTTATCCATATTTATCCCAAAGATGATAGATCTGGAGTCCTCCTGCATCACACTTTAGGACCTGGCTGACTACTACCCAAATGGTGATGTTTCATTGCTACTAAAATTCACAAGTTCATTAATGAAGTCAGTCAACATTTATTAAGGGCTCACTGTGTCTCTGATGTTGCACTAGGTATGAAAAACACAAAATTGAATCAAATATATTCTCTGACCTTGAAAGGACCACAGAATAGTAGTTGACACAAATGTTGAACAAAATTGTTTCCATAACATATTAAGTGCTATAATCACGGTGCTTTGAGAGCAGAAAGTACAATATCTACCTTTCCTAGGAACTTCAAAACAGCTGATGTCTAGCCTGAGCCTTGTAGGTTAACTCACAGGCAGGAAGAGCAGTTTTTAAGCAGGAGGGCATAAGCACAAAGACATTCAACATAAAAGATATGGTCTGTGCTGAGCATCACAGGTAGATGTATTGGAGACAAACTCCAACAGGTAAGAAAGAATTTGACCTTAAAAAAAACCTTATATATAGTGCCATGGGCAAGGGGAAGTTATTAAAGGACTAGGCACATGAGGTAAGCAGAGTAATCCTACCATGCCCGCCAAAAGATGGGCACAGCCTAATTCCAGAACCTATTAATATATTTCCTCAAATAGCAAAGGAGGAATTAAGGTTTCCAATGGAATTAAGGTTGCTGATTATTTTAAAATAGGAAGATTACCCTAGATTACCCAGGGGGGTCCAGTCTAATCACATGACTCTTAAAAGCTGAGACCCTTTCCCAGCTTGGGTAGAAAAAGTCAAA